TGCCCAAAAATAAGCAATCGTTTCTTGACTGCAACCCTGCGCCCAACAATACTGCCAACTACTGCTGAAAATCAACTCGCACTTTGGCAAGTCTGTCCACCATTTTGACTGAATGTTGCCACAATCGAATTTTCGTGTCAAATACCTTCGGTAGTGCATGAGGTTCGGGAAAAAAATCAACTCGGTGAAAAAGTGTTGACTAACTGCAGCGAAAAAGACGCGGAGCACTAAAACTCTCAAGGAAAAATTGCAACATGAACCCAAAGCGAGCAAAATACACAACACTGTCTGCATCTGTAAAAGAAGAGGTCGTTCCAGTGCTGATACACGATCCCAATGCTCCAGGTGGCCCCCAGTATGCCTATGCTACATTTGCTTCATCCGAAGAGGGCGAATCTACGGTTGAGTCACTGCCTGGAACACATGAGACAATTGTGAGCTCAGAAGAGGTGATTATTGACGAGCATGGACGCGCCGTGACCATACAACAGCTAGTCGACAATCATTCCGTAGAAGAGGTGGAGACTGTGGAGGAGAACGATGGCTCCCACACCATTTTGCACATTGTGCCCTCATCGCCCGTTACTGAGGAGGGCAATGAGAGCGGTGGCGATGGCGATGCTAATCTGAGTAATGAAGGGTTGGGACCACGCTCCAAGACTTTCTATTGTCCTAACTGTGGTAATTGCTACAGCGCTGCTGGCTCATTGAAGCTACACATGCGTGCTTGCATGAAGCGACGCGAAGAAGTGCCACCTGAGCAGCGGAAATGCGAAATATGCAACAAGGTATTCAATTCGGTTTCGTATCTAAAGGAGCACATGATGCGACATACAGGTGAAGGGCCAAGACGTTGTACTCGCTGTTATCGTAAGTTTATTGACGAGGAAAAGTGGAAGGCACACATGGAAACTCATAAGCAACAAGATAAGCTTGATGCTGAGGCTCAAGCATTGGCACAGCAGCACGGAGGCAAAAAAATAGTCGTTAAGGAATTTACATGCTCATTTTGCACGCACAATTTCACCGTGGTGTTTGAGGAAGGTCAAGTGAAACGACGTTACGCCTGCGACGAGTGCCGCGACAAATATTCCAATGTGGAACAGCTAAAGCAGCATAAACAAATGGTGGGGGAGAAACGGGACTTTCATTGCGAACGATGTGGCCGAAAATTTGTGTTCGAAGGCTTTTTGCAGCGACATCTTCCCACCTGCGATGGCACAATAAAACGGCGCCGAGACTTGAAGTAAAGAGTGGCCTGTGACCCTGTTTATTCACTGCAGTTGCATTTGCTGCGCATCCCAGATATGCTTCTTTAAATCTAAGCGCTTCGCTCTAAATCTACCAATTCAATAAGTTTTTTTCGTACCTTATATTACTTGTAACTTGTTTATTTCGTTTGATAGATGAAGTTGTAAATACGCCATTTGGATAATTGGAGATGGTTGAATGCATCCGAAGAGGGGAAGTAGTATCCTGCATACTTGGGACTACGTCCTCGGTTTACTTGAATATTTTTAGTTCTGTGACATGTACATTTTTTGAATTAATAAAGAAGTTATAATAAAGCAAAGATTATTTACTTTTATTTATCTACTAATGCATTCCTAATGCGACGATTTGTTTTAATTTTTCCACAAAGTTGAATAAGAAATCGAAATATGAAATTGCTTATGACCACAACTTCAGATGAGCGCGTTTGGCATACGATTCGTAGTTGGCGTGTGCATAGAATTCCTTGAACAAAGGAGTGACGAGAGTGTCTTTTGGCAAGGTCTTGTATATGGGCTCGCCGTACCAGGTGCCAACCTAAATATATAGAGAGAAGTTGAATACATACAAATGGACTATTGATGTTTTCCCACCTCCCAGCCAGGAACGTTAGCCATCAATTTAGCTTCTTCGTCCCGATTGCGACGCAACTGTTTAAGGTATTCTCGATCACGTTCCGCAAGAAGCAAAGGAAATATTACGTTTTGAGCTGAACGCATTTCAATCTCCTCGCGCTGCACTTTTTTAGCCGTCAGGTAGTATATGTACAAACCGACGGTCGTGACAACAGCATAGCCGCCAATCATTTGAAATCCTAACAATATTTGATTTCATTTGCTTAACTGATTTGCCTTTGTTACGTAGCGCTTTTGGTGCTCACCTGTAAAATAGCTCTTTGCTGGCACCCGGAGGAATGGGATTTTCTTGTAGCCGCCCGGTGGAGGCATATCCTGCTTCTTCGTGGCATTAGCTGTAGCCGACATCCTAAGTCGTCTTTATCTGTAATGTATTAAGATGTAAAGTGCTCTTGTAAATATTTAGAAATATTCTTACATCTCAGCTAAAAAGAAATTGGAAATTTTTTCCCGGAGCGCAATTTTGTCAAATTTGACAGCTGCGTTGCATAATAACTAGGGATGGGTAACTCAGCACGTAGCGCAACTATTGAGCTGCCCTCAGCAGTGTGTCGCACGTTCAGACTATCTTCTAAAAAAATATGACTCAGTAACTCAATAAATATTCGCTAAATAGTCGGCAATCAGAGAAAAGATTAAACCAAAGACGATAAAATTGCGAAAAATTTAATAGTTGTGAAAATTTACAATTCGCAACGACACTATAGCGCATACCAACTCAATTATGTTAACCAGCTCTACAGTGCAAACCAGCTCTGTAGCGCTCATCATGTAAACAATGCTAACCAACAGCGCTAACCAACTCTAGGCTGTGCTGCCTCGACAGCAGAGTGCCATAGCTCAATTGTGCCACCTCACAGATGGCTTATTAAAAGGAGCACGATTCATTGAGTTAGCTCGCTAAAATTTAAGGAGTTTCCCTACCCTAATAATAACAGCAGAGGCGCCAACTTAAAAAAATAAAGCCATTTAACAACACCAACAGCTGATTGCCGGAGGAAGTATTGGGTGGAAGTAGGCGATTCAAATTTGCGGAGGGGCTCATCCAGGCTTAAGGCCCAGCAGCTCTTTGCAGTTCAGGCGATTTCGAAGAGTTTTTCGGAATGATCTCGCAAGCGACAGATCCCTGAACCGTAGGTAAATTATTAGATCGAAATAAGTTTTAAATTTCTCATGCTACCTTTGCCATAGAAAATTAAAAACATAAATTTGGATCCTTTGCACATAGAGTACTATGTCCATATGTATTTCATTGGTATATATAGATTTGTATCATACATATATTAAGGATTTGATTAATACATACATACAAATTACAATTATTTACATTAATTCCTACAAAGGCTAAGTAAGAAAATTTCTGAACGAAGCATTTTCACTTTTGCCCAATTTATCTCTTATTTCTAAAAAAACTTAGTTTATTGCTACAAAATTAAACTTAGGAATTGCTTTAATACACATCAAATAAAATTCCTTTCATTTGGGTAAGTAAAATATTAACATAGGCAAACATTCATGATCTCGACTCGAAAAGAACACCAGGAACTTGTGTCCTTCATTCATTGAATTAAAAATGTTTCTATCTTTTCAAAATTAACAGCGACTTCTTTCATATTTTCAGTTTCGTACAGCACCAGAATTTAATGATAGAAAAAAAAATTGAGTTTACAAAATTTAAATTATAAATATGTATTATCCATCATGCAAGATACAAAAGCGAAGAAATTGAACTCCTCATAATATTCCTAAACGAATGTCTATTTAACGAAGGCCTCTGGCGGTATCTTATTTTCTTTGTGAAGTTTGTCAAACACAAATGCAGCATGATTGTAATCCCAATTGGTCTCCTCTAGACATCTGTAGAAAGAAAAAAAAAATACATTTTATTAAACACATTTACACTTAAGTATTCTAATTTTTTAAACAGCCACTCACTTCTTGCTCCACTCAATGTTCATGTTGCTTTGAGCGCTTAGCGTTTGAACCATCTGTATTTTTGTTGCCTCGTCAACGCCCATCTGCGGCGGTTGCAATGTGGCAGCAGCGACAGCCGATGTCTGCAACGAAAATGAATTGTGAATAGGGATCAGTTATTTATGCAATTGCTGCGCTATACTCACGCTGGGCTGATTGACTTGCAAACGGCTTTGTAGGCTACTCGACAATCCAGGACTGTGTACTGTGGCCTCATTGCCCATGGGTGTAGTGGTTGCCGGCTCGATGGACTTCTTGAAGAAACGTATCTGTGGCTGTGTTGCTACTGTTATCAGCACCATTTCGTTGCGAATACAAAAGCCGCTGCCAGCCGGTACAATTATATACTGTCGCTGGAAGTAGCGCAACTCCTCAGAGTCTTCATCAATGTCTTTGAATAAACCGGCCACAGTGAAAACGATCATTTTCGGCTGCAATAAATGAAAAAAAGACAAACTTAAATGTATTCAACTGCGGAGTAAAACAAAAAATAGGCGTACGATCACCAACTTACCGTGAATAATGTCAAATCGACGGTGAATGAACGTGGATAATGTTTGGTCTTCGGCAGTTCGGCCAGCATCGATACAACGGCTAGGCGACCGTATCGCAGCAAACGCAATCTTATGTTGTCATCGGCGTTTTGGCGGAGCAAACTACGATTGTACCGCCAATATTTCTCAAGCCTATACAGAAGAGAGAAAAATGAATAAGAATTATGCTTCGATCAATAAGTGTTACTGGTAACATACCGGCCGACTTGGCTTGCCGGCGGCACGATTAGCGATAGCATCGCTTGATCATGGTAAGCATCAAGCAATGGCTGCCGGTTGTCCGAATCGAATATCAAGAAGTACTGTTCCAAAAACTGACGTATAATATCGGTGCCATTCGGATCGCACAGGAATGAAGCCTTGGCCTGCGGCATGACAGGAGCCTCTTCGCCCACATCGAACTGTATCATCGGTGTCAGCTCTTCTCCATCCTAGGTGCAAGGTGGGGTTGAATAAATTTTGCGAAAGAACAAATAGCGATTATGAAAGTTACTTACCAATTTCTTCAATTTCGGAAATTTACGTTGGATCTCCCTGTGAATGAACATATTTTTGATGCAATGGCTGGTTAATTATGCTTAACAGTATGCAGTACATTTTGGAAAAGCAACAGGCAAACAGTGAGAGCTTAAATAGAGAATTATTTTTCTCATATTTCAAAATTTTGTTTTTTCTTCATCTTTAAAAAATGTTGGAAGCAAAGTAAAAGGTTTTCTTGGACACAGAGCAAATTGTGTTGCTGAAGCACTAAGATAATCAATATTTATGAAAAGAAGCAAAAACATCAACAAGCATTAGTATTTGCCGACTTGAATTTGCCATCGACACAGTTGTTCGCAAGAGAAAACGGCTATGCGATGCTCGGTGTATGTGGGCTATAACATTTTCGCCAGTTTTTGTTTTTAGATTTCTTTATTATAGTATTATTGCTTTTTTACATTTTTCTTTATTAGAAGAGTTGAGCCAAAATAAATATTTGTTGGCCAATCGCCTTGCTAAATTATTAAACGCGAAATTTTACTGAGTTTCGTAGAAGTTTCTTCTAAAAATTTATTATATTGCGTTCAAAGCTTTTCCCTCTTCATGTTATTTTATGATATTTTTGAGTTATACGTTTCTGTTAATTCAGTTCCAAGCATTTGGCTTCATCTGGTGTTACTGCAGGCTCACACCTGGCAATTGGACACCAAAGTTACACCAATTGATGTATGAAACCTCTATCGAGTTATAACAGCTCGTTGGCGCTTTTAAACACACCCGCTTCGCTCACCTCAGAACTCAACAATAGCCCGCCAGCAATGCGTACGCGCTCTTCAAATAAACGGTCGGCGGTTGGCACATATAAAATGTGCCTTCACAGTCAAAATGCAATGCGGCGAAGGCTAGTAATCGCTCTTTAAAGTGAGGCAACCTGGAAGCACACTCCATATATTTTTCATCCACATTTTTTCCATAATTAGTTTTTTTTTTTTATTAAGGATTCCCACTAAGTGGAATTAAGTTAGCTTTATAGAGAAAAGTCTACAAAACTCAGCGAGTTCAAAGATGCCAAATTGGAAGGCAGTGCGACTTTATTTTGTTTTGTATATTTATTGCTGCTCAGTCTCTGTTCTAGCGTCAGACTGCTTCTTTTTGTTCCTTTTTCCTTTTCATTTTTTACTTTTTTCTTTTTTTCAGCCTTCTTTTCCTTGTTTTTTTGTTTTTTTTTTACCGAACATCACTTAGCTGAAGTTGAGCTAGCATTTTAGCTTCTTTTGGTCAACGCTTGAATGACATTTTTGCTTCACAATGAACACGCTTCTTTACAAGCAAATTGAATCCTTTGAATTTGCTTTCTCAGATGCTAAACAATTCGGACACGCGCATTAAAACTTGCGTTTTTTGGCGCTTTCTCATCAGTTTTGCCTTTTGCTTCAGATCAAACAAATCGGAGTGTTGGCGAAGATTTCCAAAATGGGTTTCATGTATTTCTTTTATATACTTTAAATTACTGAAAGTGTAAATCTCGTAGATATAAACATGAAGTGCCTGTTCGAAACGAAACCTTCACCAACGCTTTACAACATTTCCTTTCGAAATAAACACTTTTTGCAAAGCACATAACATGAAAACATATTTGAAAATCGACTAATATTATTCGTATGTATGTGTGTAAATATCTGTTGGAATTTGCTGTGGACGCAGGTATTGCTCGCAAAGACGCGCATGTTCTTTGGACCCGCCGCAACCGACGTTGAACACTTGCATCACCAGTGAGACGTGTTACAGCACTGCGAGAAGCGTAGCGGCCCATTCCGCGCGCGCTCCTCCATAACGACGCAACACTCTTCCATCCATTTACGTTTTTAAACCATTTTTCATGCGTTGCACCCAGTTTTATCAGCTGGTCAAGTGCAGTGCAGTGCAGTGCGGTTTCCCAAATTAGAAATTCAATTTTTGATACCTGACGTATTGCGCGTGATCTTTGTAGCGACTGCATAATCCATTATTTTTCAATGCTAATTCAACGAACGGCACATGCCGTAGAGCAATCAAATGTGTTGCGGTGGGTATCTGTATCAAATAGAACAAAAAAATATATATATATTAAGCAATCTTTGAAGTATGTAATACATATAAATACTTATATATGTAGCTCGCAGCAATACTTACCCTATTGTCGGCCAAGTAGAGTATGCGAAGATTCGGTAGGCGTACGTGAGCATTCTTGAATGCCTCCATGGACGAAATGTTGTTGTTGTTCAGATTGAGCGCAACCAAATCTGGTATATTTTTCTCCATTATTTCGATGGCTGCAGCCATTACGGGGGTGCGGAATACGCCGCAAAAAATGCCTTTGAAATCGGGATCGGTGTGGAAGCTGGACATGTCCAGCGCCTTGGTATGTGCATTATAACGTTTTGCCATCACCACTTGCATGCGTGCCTTGAGCTGGTCGTTGACTGGCGTCGACGGACAGGCGGCACGTACGCGCAAATACGGTCGAAAGCCGTCGGGCATCTGAACAGCGCGTTCGAGGCCATCCAAGCGCTCGGCGACCCTGTGGTCATCTACAAAGAAAGTTACGTAGTTCTTCTCGGAGCGCCAGTAGAGCGGCATGAGGTGCTCGGGAGCGATAACATGTTGCAGCACACTGACGAGCTCCTCCTTGGCATAGCGCTGGCCATTGTTTATCTGAAAGCAAAGAAAAACGATTTCATTTAACAAGTTTGGTTGAAATCAGTTTTTAGACATCATGACGCCAATAGGTGCTGACCAATCCAGTGTACAACTAATGGCGCGATATGAGCAAACGGGCGGTCAGCCAGCTGTTTTTTTTTTTTTTGGTGTCAGGCAATGGAAAACATTTGTCAATCGATATGGAGAATCGCGATTGTTGCTAATCTTTATTGTTGTTCAATTCAATGAATTTCTGCTTCACTCATAAGTGCGTTGATAAGACAAGCGCTGCCAGCCGATACGCCGAGCGCGCACAGAAACTCGGTGACTTTGCGGCTCAACATACGTGAAAGAATCGACAAGCAAACTTCATTTACGTGAATTCAATACAGGAAAACTAAAAGAAGAAAAATGTTGTAATGCAATTGCCGTCCAGAGGAGGAAAACGTTGGAAGCAAGTACCGTTAAGAGAGAAAGGACAAAATGCGACGAATATTCCGATGTGGTTGCTGTTGCGCAGCTGAAGAGGCGAGCGCTGATGCGGTTTCTAGTGAAGGTGCTTTTGGAAGCTACTGGAACATCTGGAATAGCAGAGAACTAAAGGAGCAACAAGAAGTGAGTAACCGAAATCACACTTCGGATGTGAATTATAACCAAATGCTAATTGCAACTTGCAGGGCACACTGCCGTCCATTGTCTCGACGGAACCAAGCGGCAGTGCCACTGGGCGCAGCTCGGTGGAGGATTTCGTGGACATTGAGTTTCCGCAGGGCAGCTACGAGGATGACCGCTTCAGCGACATGTCGGCGACAATATTTAAGCGACAGCAAAAGTGAAAACAAAAGTTGTGGAGCAGATAGTGAGAGACACAGTGCAAACGGGAAATGCGGTTTCGTTTTTGTGATATTTATTACTCTAATTTCGTTCGAAGTTATTATATTAGAATGTGTGGCCGAACATAATGCCATAAACTGATAAGATTTTTACAATGAAAAACCATATTACTTAGAATAGATAAGTGGAGAATACCTGAAGTTAGATTGTACATACGTTTCTGAATGAGGTCAGTTTTGATTTTGTACAAAATAAATATTAGAACTAAGTATAGGTGGTTAGTTCGAAATTGTGCTATGAAAGTTGAATGCTTCGATTGTCAATCGCATTTCAATGGCCTAATAGCCCATTTCCACCAGGACCTTAACTGCAGTTAAGAGCTCAGCTAAGTGCAAATAACGTTAACATGGAGTGATCAGAAAAGTTTTTCGTTTACTGCCTGTCGCTTTTTTGCTTGTACTTTATATGAGCAATTACTTCTTCCAGTTGTAATCTCCTTTATTCCAATGGCATAAACTGCAGTTAAGGCTTGGTGGAAATGAGTTATAAAACTAATGCTTTCTAAACAAAACAACTTTTCCTTCAAATGGACGGATATAAACAGAGTAGCTAAGTACTTTCAAGTCATTATTCTACTGAATCAATTGCTATCCCTAATGAAGCCGAGGAGATCCAACACCACCATGGTCATCGGCACGAAAGTTATCAATTGAGTCTTCCTCATCCTCATCCCGCCAGCTTCTGCACATCGTACTTGTTGGTATTCGCCATCGTTGAAGCATTGTTGCTATAGCACAGTGCCCTGCGATAACGCCGGTAATGACTCTTACTTTACTGCAGATCTATTGAGTTTCAGTATGTCCGCTGTCTTTTTCGTACTAAGCCGCGGCCATAATAATCTTGTGATCTAACAGTCTTGCCGTTTATTCCACAAGCCATTAGCCATGGCCACGGTGTATTCATCAATTTCCCTAACATAATCACTAAACGGTGGTAGTACGCAGCTATCAGCTTATTCGATTGACATCACTGAGCCGTATCTGGTACTCCTATCAGCCGACTGATTCCCTTCAATATTGCTATGCCGTTGATATGGCTCAGTGATGCCAGCGTGGTCCTACATTTCCATGCAATTCCCGATTTCACCATTTTAGACCCTATTGCCTTCAGTGCTGCTTGACTATTGACAAAAATAGCGGCTTTATTTTCTGGAACCCTACTACTATTTAAGTACAAGACCAGCCGCCCTTTCTATAGCGTAGATATCCGCTTGGAAGAACCTGCAATCGTTCGGTAGGCTCCAGTTCCTTATTCCATATTTGAACCATCATCCCATTTTTCTCTGGCAGGGAACCTAATAGGTGCCTTAGTATTGAAAAACATAAAAAAAGTATAGATACAATGAGTAATCAGATTTATCTGGTAGTATGAGGGACATATTACTAGACGTTGCACGTTGTCAAGCACACCCGCTATTCTTTAGGAGATTTTTGTCGACCAAAATGAGCGATTTTCAGAATCCCACTGCAGTTGAAACAGCCAGCCAAATAAGAGAACTTATTTTCGTTGATTTTTTTTTTTAAGAGTAATCGGTTTCTGTGCCGTGCCATCTTTAATGTCCACCTTCTTCTTGGATATTATTTTCAAAAGTATTCCTACATAAAGGAGTACACTGGTGGCAGAAATAATAGAAACGCCTTATTTTGACCAGTTTTGGCTTCATTTGGTTGATTTTGAACCGACTTCAAAAAAGGAGGAGGTTAAGGAGGAGGTTATCATTTCGTCGAAATATTCTTTTATGTATGTACATGTGTTACCGCATAACTGTGGAACACGCTAATCGATTTCTATAATTATTATTTTTTTAAGGAAGGTGATACCTCGGAGGTGTCCCCATACTAATTTGGTTTAGATCCGATCCTTGGATCATTGAGAAATGAACGATACTCTTATATTTTTATATGAGAATTGAAGACGGTTTTGTTTTTAACCGACTTCAAAAAAAGGAGGAGGCTATCAATTCGTCGGAATATTTTTTTTTGTATGTATGTTACCCATAACTTTGGACCACGTTAACCGATGTCTAAAATTTTTTTTTAAAGGAAAGGAAGTAGCTCAGGGGTAGCCCCATACTAATTTGATTTAGATCCGATCATTGGATCATGAAAAAAAACTAGTGGAACTCTTAAATTTTTATATTAGATTTGAAGTCAGTTTTGTTTTTTGCATAAAAATTACACGTTTGCTTAAAAATTACCTGTTAACGTCTAATTTTATTTTATAAAAGTCTTACTCATTATGTAATAAGCTAAATATACAATATACATACAAAAATTAGAAAAGTCCAACAAATTTTCACCAAAATTTTGAACTTTTTATTCAGAATTTCTTGAAAAATTTTAGGTATGCAGCCTATTTTAATAGGGTGAAATGCAAGTTAAACGTGGCTTAAAGCTACCGTTGCTTTTCTAGATTTTTTTTTAGCTGACGGTGTTGTGCATTTTTTCCTTATAAAGTGTGCCCAAAACATGAATTTTATATTCTTCTCTCTCGTTATTTAAAAAAAATCTGAAAAAGTCCGCTGCAAAAAAATGCCATTTGCACCCGCTTGAAACTTGCACTTGACCTACTAAAATTTAATGGACATGTTTGAATTTAAGGTGCAAATTTGTTGAATTATTGAGTTGAATATATAATGAGTTAGTATAAAACAACAAATATTAAACATTAAATAAACAAAGGAAATATATCTAAAATTGATCAAAATAAGGCGTTTCTAATATTTCTGCCACCAGTGTATACAAATTTAGTATGAAATTAATTCTTTTTAAAGCGTATTCCTAAAAATCCGTACGAAAAACATTTACTTTGCAATTCCGGGAAATTTCTTCAAATATAGTTCCAAACGCCTCAGAATTTCTTATCAGAAAACCGTTTCGCACACTTGAACAAAATTTTTATTTTTGTATGACTACACCTAAGCTTAGAGCAGAAAATGTGCCATTACATAACCTAAAATGAATCACTCAACGGAATATTATTATTAAAATACTTGAAAGTGATAAGAAAATTTATTTCTAATTGATTATGGCATGTCGAAAAATATTTACAACATATGTATGTATGTACAAAAAACACAGCTAAACGGCGAAGACGAAAGATAAGAATCGATAAGTGATATACCTAAACGATAAGCCAGCGCATTTGAGAATATACTTATGAAAATTTGCAAGCAAATAAAAACGACCTCAAAATAATTAACACAAAAACAAAACCAAAAACATTGGGCAAAAGTAAACACAACAACACTATCAGCATGGCTGCCTTGTGCCAATTCCACTCCCCAAAACCCCCAACTAAAGCCAACTAAAAAGGTAGAAAAAAAACAGTTAAAATACATACATAAATAAATTTCGCAAAATGCCATAAGTAATACTTCAAATAAATTATAGAATACCTATGACTGACTGTTGTGAGTCTCCTACATACATACGTATGTATGTACATGCACAGCGCACACAAAAGAATGCCACGAGAGAGTTAACTAGTCACTGATAAGACAGCAGGAGCACAGTTGGCTTTGAATATGAAATACAAGTGTGCGTGTGTGTGTGTGTCTACACAGAGACCCGCCTAACAACCCACCACCCACCGCGGCACACCTCGCCAGCGGCGCAACACTTGGCGCTGCAACGCTCTGGGGCAAGCGCTCGCAGGGAGAGGGCGAGGTAGAGCCGTTGGCATCCAAGCTATGCGAGCGGAGACTCGCCAACATTGTGGACGCTCATTTAAACAAATTCGCTGGTTTTTTTTTATTAATATCTCTGTTGCAAATTATTATTTTTGAAGCATATGCTCGTACATTTGTACATTTGTAGAGTATGAAATGCGTATTGCTCATAATCAGCGTACAGTTTATATGTATGTTTGAGTGTACAAATGAGTACTTAATGAATGTTTAATGCATTAGTGTTGCTGCCTCGTGTGAGTTATTTGGCTGAAACTCATTTATTTCGCGATAAAAGCACCGCAGAAGGGAGCAGCAGCTGAAGTATGGAGTGCAGCGCACTGCCCCTAACGACGCCACCGGTCGCCGACGCCACCTACTGCCGGCCATCGAGTGTCGTCATAGAGTAAATTCAACAATCGAAAAAAAAGTGAGGCGAACAAAAGTGAAATTGATACACGCTGTGCAACCGCGAGTCGACGTTGTTGACGAATAAGATACTTTAGTTCTTCAAAGACCGTTAAAAGGCGCATACGAATATTTAGTTCACAAAAAAAAAGATTATAAGAATAAAAGATATTTAAAAAATGGGTAGCTGCTGTTCAAAGGATCCGGATTCGAAGACCTCATGGAGTCCTTCGGAGGCAAAAAATGCGGTACGATATGAAGCGTAGAATTTTCGAAAAGTGTAGACTTAATGTGCGCGTCTCCGGACGAAAGAAAATTTAGCAAAGCGGCTCAGCGCGAGTTTAGAAACAATTACATTTTTTTTTTGCTGCATACATAATGCGAAAGGTGTTTAGGATTTTTTGCACAAAACAAGTTGTGGGAATTTTTAATCTAAAGCAAGCAACGAACAGTGAAGAATTTAATGAACAAATAATTATGTATATTATTTTTTTAAATTTTAGACATTTTCAAAGTTCATTGTAGTCTATAAAATGAAAAATATTAAAATTAACGAAATATAATGAACGAGTAGATATGTATTAGTCATTAAGAAATATTCTACGCATGAGTCAACGGCGATTAATCACAAGGCGTTACCTTGTGGGCAGTGGGTGGAGTGGTAGTGCGCAGTAGACAGGCAAATACTATGTACTTGAAGCGCTGAACAATCCCTTGCATTGTTCGCATGCCATTCAGTGATAGGCATGTTATTGATCTTGGAGAGATGTGATTTGTTTACCGAATCGCTCGCAGGTGTAGATTAATATTTATTGCACTTAGTAGCTATTGCAGTGCCAGATTTCACGGTTTAATTATGAAAAAAAAAGTTTTGAAGTCTTTATGGATACCCGCTGCCACTTTTAATCTTGACTTTTCGAACAAAAAAAAATAATCATTTTAGCTCTGGTGATCTTCACTTACTTACAGTAAGTTTTTACGAGCTAAATTCTGAATGCAAATCCAGTAAATAGCGCGACTGTCCAATTTTGGAACCAAATTTGTAGCTTTTGGTACAGAAAGCGACATCAGCAGTTGGCTCACTCTCATCTCAAATCCAACGCCAAGAGAGTTGTTTCTAGCTTATGTAAGCAAAGCTGAAAAATGTCCTTTGGTTGACACTAAACGGCTTGAGAACGCTTCAAATTCTAAATGCTACTAATAACTATATAACGAATATCTAAATCGGGAGTCGCCTGCGAGCGCGATATACTGGAAGAGGTTCCTAACAGCCACTTTGAGAGTAATTTAAACCTGTTGGTCATAAAACCTATTAGCCTACTCGGAGACGGTCTAAAACAGTAGAATTCGTTGAACCATGCACTGAACACACAAGTGACACACGAATATTTGTGCACTAAAATATAATCATTTAAATACATTTTAATAAACAAATTTATATTTAACGTTTGAGAAAGTAGAAAATACATACATATGTAGCTTAAATTAAAAATGGTAGCGCAACAGTAGCGACCCGCCCTACCCATTGTACATACAGTGGTTTCCACATAATTAGGGACACTACTTCTTTACATATTTTGATCAGTTTTTTTTTCTTTATTAATTTTTTAAGTACATAGTTGATACGACAACAATGCAACTCAAATTTTCAAACTGTTTTATCAGAATTTCTAGAAAAAAATCGGGTATGGAGCTTAGTAGTTTATTCATTTTTTTCAATATTGCGCAATTTTCGAGCGGCATAGAATTCGCATTAATTTTTGGTAATTCTTTTGTTGACGACGTTGCGCATTTTTTTTTCCATAGATACAAAGTATATTCCAAAATTTTTTATATGAGATAAAATGAGTGACATCGTCAACAAAACTGTGTACTCGATTTTTTTCTAGAAATCCACATGATTTTCGTTGTAATTAGTATAAATTATTTTTGGTACAAAAAAATAAATAAATTATAAACAAGTAAAAAAAAAATTAAGGGCCAAAACTGTAAAAGGGACACTCCCTAATTATGTGGCCAATAGTGTACATATTTTTTATTCGAACTACATTTCAAAAGAGACACATTTCGGTTTATCAGCAATTAATTCCCCTTCATTTGCTGTTATCAAAAGTTAAACAACATCGCTTAATGAAAAGTACACAACCTGCTGAGCTGCTTTGACAACTTCAGCACGCCGCACACAAATTCATACATAAGCGGGTACATACCAATTTTTTGCGCAACAAAATTAAGACATTTTTAGAAATTCTTCAACGGCTACTAAATTTAGCGGAATGCTATTTAAAAAAAAGCAACAATTTAACTAAATAAAATAACAAAGGAATTAATTTAATTCAATCAATTGCAGAGCACCACATCAACAATTGTCGCACAGCCCAACAACGACTCCACCTCGGCTGGAGTGTTTACGAGCACGATGGTTGTGCCGGTTGACACAGATGGCGCGAACTCTGAAGAGATAACCACCACCATCATAAAGACGACAAGAGTCACAGAGACTGTGACGACCTCGAGCGATTGAATGGTGATGAACTGAGTGGCTGATACGATACGACGACGCACATTCACTAGCCAGCCGCTGACTGCAGGAAATAAGTGAATCAACAGCAGCCAAATAATGAAATAAAAGCATTTAGCATTAATTTATACACAATTAAGTTATATGTACTGAGCACACAGATTGGCTTGAATGCCATGCAACGAACTCCCAGTTAGATGTACACACTTGCATACACATATTTGTAGCAGATAAGTTCATGGAAAACGAAAACATTGTAAATAGCGATTTCTTTTTTTTTTTGAAATTTGTGTAATAAATAATAACTTTTATTAAAAGCGAGCGCACTGGGTGTACGATATTTCACTAAATAAACACCCGCCCGCCCACCCTTTCCTTTTATGATAACAGGCATCGGGTGTATTTCGAAGCAAATCGGTTATTCACCAGCCGTTGGTTGCTGCACAAACTTTGAAACGCGTTTGAGTACGCGCATCGGCACTTAATTGCAGCGTAGAATCGATTGCGCGTGAAAAATAAAACAAAATGTTATTCTTATTGAGCTGGCGCAGCAGACAAGATCAGTAATTTACGCCGCCGACTACCGCACTGCCCCTTCCATTGGCCGCTGTCCATCCAGTTCTAATCAGTCGACTCGCGCGCAGCATTAAAAAGCGCTCGTTTAATCGTCAATCAGTTTAGTTTAAATACCCGTCGCGGCAACAACATCCCTCTCAGTCAGCGAGTGTTCGGCGCGCACAGTTCTCAGGCAATTCTAATTTTAATTAAATTAAATTAAAACTAAAATCGACATTCAAATTGAAATTCGCACGTCACCAACCTGATTGAACTGGCCAGTTATTCTACAGCGCTGTCGCGTTTTTGGTTCAAATAATTTTTTATTTTTTTTTTAATTGATTAACTTATTGTTGCTATTGTTCTTGTTGAACAGTTGGTGTACTCGTGACAAATGGCACAAGCTGTACTCTTGTTAATGGCCGCCATCATGGCGATCAGCAGTTTGACGCAAGGTTTCGTGCTGCCCCACTTTGCGCAGCTGATGGGCGCCGACTACGAGTATGCCGAAGAGACGCCGGCCGCGCCCACACCAACCACCAACTACATCATGCGCATCGCGCACCCCAACGAGTTGCGTGAGCCCGGCGTGGCCGAGGTCACTAAATTCATTGATGCCGGTGCAGCCAAGGCCGCTGCGCCAACCAGCAATCAGGAGAGTGCAGAGGCTAACTCAGCCGGTGAGGCAAAGGTGGCGCACAAGGCAGGCGAAGAGCCATGTCGGCGCCAAGGCAAGACGCTCACCTACACGGAGCTCGATCAACTGCTGGCCAATTGGCAAATGGACAAGGAGCGGAACGCCTACAACATGCAGGCCAGCAACCGATATGGCATCCACGCGCGTCGGAACTGAGCGGATCAGCGCGTTTTTTTTTGTTTTATTAAATCGAAAATAGTGTATTTTATCATAGTTGAATAGGGGCTGACTGTAAAGGCGCAAATGCTAGCAGCACTGATAAGCCGTTGGGTAGACACGGTGGGCGGGGTAGGGGAGTTTGCGCTGATAATTATTTTTTTAAAGCTTTTATTGTTTGATCATTGTTAAATTAATTGTTCCATAAGAACGCGCTTGGTGTTGCGCCTTCTTAGCAGCCGCCTTAGCATTGGAAACGGCCACGGCGTTGCGACTGTTGGACGAATGCAGAGTGGGAAATGTTTAATTACCAACTCGTTAACGTATCTCGAATGTGCCGCCTGTCTACAAATATTTGTTAAGCTACATTTATCTCATGTTAATACTATTTGTAATCATTGTTAAAATAAAAGACTCGACTAGAGTTGGCAAAAAAAGAACAGATAACTAAATGGAACAGAACGAAATGCTCTATAAATTTTATTTCGACTGTAGTTGCGGGCAATTACGGCACTATTTAGATAAGATAAAAAGGATGAGATTGTGATTTAGTCACGCCGTCTACCGATTTCGAGCTGTTGTTGTTTTTCTGCCATATCTGAATTACGAAATCAGAAAAAAATATCCCTGACGATGTGCTGATCTATTCGTTACATAACCATTCACGTTCCGCCGCCTTTCCAGAAGATTTGAAAAGTTATTTTTCACTATGTTTAATATTAATCAAACCCTTCCACACATAAAAAGAAAATAATCCTACTAACTAAGGGGACGATTTATTGCAACAAATTTAATTTACATTTGCTTGGCAGGTGTTCCAGTGCGTATGAAAGCTAATAAATTACTTGCGGATAAATTCTATTGTTCTATTTAGGCTGTTGCGGCTGCATGCTTGCTGCCGTTTTGTACAATCACCTCTCCTCCTCTTCCACTCGCGTCTTTTGCAACATTCGTCACATCTTCTCCCTTTTGGCTTCCATCCAGTTCATTCATGCTAAGTTCTGTTGCACCCGTGTCACTTTTCGGCAATGGTGCATCGTCTTCCACGGTACTGGGGGTCGCTGAACCCCCGCCGATCTCCGAGCTCGTGCCTGTCACCACCACAACTGGCACTTGTCGGTTGCGCAACCGCCTGGCCAATGGCGGCACAAACAAATCGTATTTGATTGTCGTGCATGCGCTGTCGGTGTAGATGTGCGCGTTTGAATCCCAGCCCAGCTTGGCATACAGCCAGGAACATACCAAGCCCATGAACAACGTGACGAGAAAGCCAATTACCGAATACCACATGTACGAGATGCGATACAGATAGAAATAATGAGGCTCCTCTGCTTCCGCAGCTGCTGTCGCCGTAAAGGGTGTGAAAATGTCGCTGACATGCGATGTTGGCGGCGACGCGGAACAGCCTTCAGTGGAGAATTCTAATGTCTTCGGTGTAGGCCGTGGTTGGCCGAAGCCTATCCAGAAACAAAATGCCAAACTAGTAATAAGGCCAGTTATGGCGCCCTTTTGATTGACGAAGGTGAAGTACATGCCGAGTGTGAAGAGACCCAACAACGGTCCGCCAACAATGCCGAAGATGGAAAGTGCTGCCTGTAGTACGCCGGTTAGCGAGCCGGCAAGGAATGCCAAACCGATGCAGGCTGCACCGTAGATCAGATTGAAGAACTTCGAGAACCACGTGCTCTGCGACTCCTTTAGCGGTTTATTGGTCTTCCATAGCAGCAACGGCTTTAGGTAATCTTCAACGGTGACAGCAGCCAGCGCGGATATAGCGGATGATATTGTCGATAGACTTGCCGAAAATATGCCTGCTACGAAGAGACCTGACAGACCAGGTATGCCACCCATAGTGTCCACAACGAAAAGTGGCATCAACTGATCGCGTGACGATATGCGTCCCTCCAATAGGGGGTCACAGTCCTTGTAGAAGTAATAGATGCAAAGGCCCGAGAAGCAGGTACTGAAACTCAACGGTATCAAAATTGGCAAATTCCACCATAGGGAGGCTTGCGATGACTTCAGGTTGCGCGCAGACAGCAAACGCTGCACCTGAGTTTGGTTGACACCGTATAGAGATAGATATGTGGCCATGCCGCCGATAATCTGCGTCCACCAGGTGTGACGCACTGTCGGATCAACGCTAAAGTCCAGAAATTGCAGGCGACCGCCTTCCCCTGCGACTCGCCAAATCTCACCCCAACTGCCAGCTTTGATGGTCGCACAAATTATGACACTGAACACGGAAACGAACATTAGCAGCGATTGAAAAATATCTGTGATGAGCACCGCTTTCATACCGCCCAAAGTGGCATAGAATGTACACACCACGCCGACGACTACTACGGAGAAATTTTGATTCAGACCGGTTACGGCTTCCAGCGCCAGCGCCGGCGCGTACAACACAATGCCCATGTAGAGCGTCATCTGAATGGTAAAGGCAAGTGAGGCGCAAAGTCGCGTGGCATAGCCAAAGCGCAGCTCCAAATATTCGTAGACGGACGCAGTCTTTAGCCGATAGAAGACAGGCAGGATAAGATAGGCAGCTGCAGGCGTCGACAAGACATACGAAATATTAATCAACACGAACATGGTGCCGTACTGGTAGTTTTCCATCGACACACCGAGCAGCGTAACGGCGGACATGAAGCTGGTCATGAGACTGAAAGCGACCGGCAGTATGGACATCTGACGATCTGCGAGCAGGTATTCCTTGGTGGTCTGCTGCTTGCCACCCGTCAGGCGGTAATAGATGCCAATTGCAGCTGAAATGATCAGCACAATCGCGACGATGCCATAGTCAAGGGCACCGAAAGAGGCCATTTTGTTGGTTGCAACTAGCTTGATCTGATTATCCTTAAAATTTCTCACTGCTTCCGTATAGACCGCGAGTCACTGCTGTATAGGGCGCTCCTGCCGTTGTTTTTGCTGGTACACAACACGCGAGCGACTGATTTATAATTATGCGTTAAACAAGTAGGTGCTTGGCAAACGGAGATTTCAGCCACGTAAAGATAATCTTTATTGGCTAGCAGTGTCGATATTTTATCTACGCTTGTTAACTATAATCGTACAACTTGAGATACTAACTGCACGGTTTTAGTACAAAAATGCTGCATAATAGAGCTAGAAATTCAACCAATTATGAGCGTTTGCTAGCGTTTTCGAAAACGTTTTGTGTAAAAAAATCTTTGCAGCGTTGCAAAATCCGCGCTATTTTTGGTGGGCGCAAACTTTTATAAACTTCCGTGGCGTCGAACAGCAGACTGTTGGCGTGAGTGCTGTTGTGCCAAGAGAAACAGCCAATAAGCAACCTACCAACTAAACAGTCGGAGCGGTTATAGGAGCATGCAATGCGTTATCTACTATTACCTATTCCAGCGCCTCCACGACGCTTGCTGAGGCGGCGGATGCGTTGCTGTTTTTAGGCAAATACTTGCATATGAAATGAACTTATCAATTCACGCTGCCGTTCATGTAAATAAGAAGCGATTTTATGGCCAGAAGTATAGCGCCAGTTGCCAGTAAAATGAAATGGGCATACTAGATACGCGAGCTCGCGAGGGTGTGAAGGCTACTTATTCCGGCAGATGCAAATGCTGCGTTGGTTGTTAGCACGCGCAGCTATTTGTTGAATTTCAGCTTTGTGTAAACAAAATTTAATTACTTTGCTCTTTGGTATTATTATTGTTGTACTACGATAGGATTTATTTACTTGCAATGGCTTTGCATTTATCCAAAAATCGGTGGCGTTGGTATAGGTTTCTTTAGCTTTCGAATTTTCTGCTGGAGGCGAACTTATGCGTTAATGATTCCGATAAATCCTTTTATGAATGCCATAAAAATATTAAGGTTTCTTTGCGAGATGCAAATTTGGGGCAGATTGAAGCCGTACAAGTTAAAGTGTATGCCCAATTACGGTCTGGACATTGTAGCCGCTACTTATCCAGACTCGACCCGGATATCCCCAATGAGTGTCCGGCTTGTGGAGACTCCGCCATGACACCGCTGATTTAAACCGGTTACTACTAAAGTTTTAATTTTCCATTTACGGGTAAAGGCCGGATCTCATGAATGCATTAGTTTATTTCCCAATCGTGTGATTTCGCAATATTGTGCTTATTATGCCCATTGAAACCCAAACCGGGCGCAACAACAATTGTATAAAGTAAGATAAAGCGTGTGACTGCGCAGAAATCGGCTCGGACAATTTCTTTACCGCGCGCCAATTTAGCACAATAGAAATGTGCGAGATTGGTGCACTTGCGTCAATCGTGTGATTCCAGCTTAATAGAGAAAACAAATTTCTATGATACGATTTCGACTTATTTACCGTCAATAATAGCAACCCCAGTATAACCATAAAGCAACTTAATTACTTTAGGGATAAATAAGAACCCCCAAGCGCAAATATACTTTTTTCTTTTAAACCTAATTGGTTCGTTGGTATCGAATTAATAGCTGCCATATATGTATACTCAGGGCATCCACTTACCCTGACATCCTGATTTCAGTCCGCGTTAATCCTAGTTTTTCGCATTACTGTCTCATCTAGGAAATACTGATATAAGGACGGCGGGTTAGTCTTTAATTATAATAAGGGTCTTCCCTTAAACTCGCAAAAGCCTCTTAAACCTCGTAAAGCTCGTAAATTTACGATCCTCGTAAAAGAACTGTACAAATTTGTATGGAGCTCTATTTACGATGCCCCTCGTAAATTTACGAGGCAAATTTGATGCGCAAACGACCTCGTAAAGGACTTTGAAGTTTCAAAGAGAAGACTATGTACAGTCAGTCAATAAAGTTTAGGTACAGCGAATATTTTACTATACGGGCAACTATTTTCAAATATTTTATTTTTCGATAATTTTTTATAAAAATATGGTCAATTCTACAACAGAAACCCCAAAAATCAGAGTTCCAAACCTTGTGCAAAATTAAAAAAAATTCGGCAAAATTTCATTCAAATATTGCACTTTCTATTTACGCTCTCTACAAAAAGGTTGAGTATGCAGTTTTTTAGCCCATTCAATTTTAGTATAACAAAGTGCAAGTTTGAGGTGGCTAGGACTTACATTGATTTTCAGCAATTTTTTTTTTGTTGGAGGTGTCGCTCATTTTCTCCATATAAAATAATGTTCGGTAATTTTTTTATATTTAAAAAAAATGTGCGACACCTTCAACAAAAAAATTTCCCAAAAATCAATGGTAAGTCCTAGCTTACTCATACTTGCACTTTATTATACTAAAATTGAATGGGCTAAAAAACTACATCTAGAGAGCGTAAATAAAAAGTGCAATATTTGAATGAAATTTTGCAGAATTTTCTTTAATTTTGCACAAGGTTTGGAACTTTGATTTTTGGGGTTTTTGTTGTAGAATTAACCATATTTTTTATAAAAAATTAGCGAAAAATAAAATAATTAAAAAATAGTTGCCCGTATTGTAAAAAATTCGGTGTACCTAAACTTTATTGACCGACTGTAGTTCCAAATTTATTTCAAAAACTTATGGCCTTATTCATAGAAAATAAAGTAGCTTTATAAAAGGTTTATAAATTGGAAATATATGAAAACGTCAATTTATAAAGCTCTTAAAACCTACTTTATTTTTTATGAATAACGCCAAAATGAAAATTCTGTAGAATTAAGAAAGATACATTTATTTGGTTCATAAGAACGAAAAGATATTGAAAACTCCTGTTAAAATTGTATTCTTGATTATCCTTGAAAATTTGTAACATTTATTTTTAAAAATTACTAGCTTAAAGAATTAAAGTTAATCAAAAGGGCATTTTGAATACCAATTCGTTCTTGGGAACCAAAAAAAATATATATTTTTTTCAAATTCTACAAAATTGTATCTTTCATTTGGTACCCAAATTGTTAATTTTGTATGTACATTGCGCTGATTTTTTTTTGTAATTTTTTGAATTAATTATATCCTTTAAAATTGAAAATCCAGAGGGAACAACTGAAAACAGGATTTATTTAGCTTTTTTCCTGGCAGAAGTTTTGCAATTGCCTGCCTACGGGCGACGGCTGCGTGAAATTTTTTTCTTATTTAATGTTTATCGGACCAGAGATGAAACCTAGGTTCAATGAAGTGGCAATACGCACATTTAACCAATCGGCCACAGGGGCTGTCCGCATTAATCAACCTACTATAAACATCACCTGTGGAAGAGACGGAGCTTCAGTTACCAAGAGAGACCCGCGTTACCCTGGCTCAGTTACGGTCTGGATATTGTAGCCGCCTAAACAGCTACCTGTCCAGACTCGACCCAAACATCCCAAATGAGTGCCCGGCATGTGGAGACTCCCCCCACGACACCAACCACCTCTTCACATGCCAGCTCAATCCGACTCAACTAACACCCCTCTCCCTTTGGTCCGACCCCATCGAAACAGCTCGTTTCCTGGGCCAACCGTTAGTTGAGCTTGACGATAATGATTAAAAGTTGACCCGAAACAGGCGGGGCTTAGTAGTGCCGCTACAACAACAACAACAACATCACCGCTTATTCGGCTATTTATACCATTTGTATAAAATATTTGCGTACATAATTATTTGCATTTTACATAAAATTACTTGACTTTTTTTGCATACAACTTACCGTAATTTGATACCAGCCAAAAGGTGATTTAGATAAATGCATAAGATTTCCAAATTTCTTTCTGGGTATAGGGGAGCCCTTTCGGCGTGCATGCTCTGGCTGCAAAAACAACTTAATTGTAAAATTTGCTTACTAAAATTTCAATAGTAGCATACCTTTGACGTGCCTGGCATATCTCCCATGTCTTCATCATCCTCCAAATGTGAGCGTATGGCTATCTCAGCCATTCGCCTTCTAATGATACCAGATGATTGCAGGAGGGATGGCTTGAAGCTAACACGACGCGTATTGCGGCCCTTGGGCGGGTTATCACGTTCACGTTCACGCTCACGGTCACGGTCACGTTCGCGATCATCGCGGTCTGCAAGGAAGTAAGAAATTTAATCTGCCTCTGATTTTTAACTAGGCGCCTGCGAACAGCGTCACTACATACCGTCCAAGTCATTGAATGCCACGAAACGTGAGCCACCAGGCCCGTTCATATTTCCACGTCCACCTCGTTTTGGCATTTTATTTGCCTTGTTTGCGGGTATTGCTTCTAATTAATATTAATTATATTATGTTGCTTGTAAATTGCACAAATTTACATATGAATATGCGCTGGAAATTTTCTTGGAAAAAATCGCAGGAATCTATTATACAAATTGCAAAATGAAGTTTTTGCCTTTTCTCTTTTTTCTTTGTGAAATAATTTGACAGCTTTGTGCTGACGGTCGTTGCCATCTAAACGGTTGTGCACCACCCGAATCGGGACAAATTCGCGAGATAAGTTAAATCGGCAACCCTAAAACGAGCGCCATCTGTTGATAGTTTTTGGCAGGTATATAAATGAAGGCGACTTCCGCTTTTGGCAGGGGAATAAATCCATAAATTTTAAATGTTCGAAAACACGCGCGTTTTATTATTTGTTGAAGTTTAATGCTTTTTTGTAAAGGCTTCTGCAATTGTTTATGTTTTTATTAAAAATAAGGGTTATTCCATATTTACTTTAGTTTACTTGAGAATTACGGCGACCCCTTTTCCTCAGTGTAAAACCGCCACTAATACGCTTGGGTGTGTGTGTGTGGATGATTGGGGACAAAACCAGCAGCGTTGTTTGGAGCTCGGTTCGCGCCTGCTGACTTGCAGTTGAGCGCGAACTACGAAATCGAATGGATCGTGCCAAATGCTAATTCTGTCGCGGTTGTTAGTTTTTTTTTCGTTCATTTTCGACAAGTGCATGTGCTAAAGTGAATGCGGGAAGTAAATCGTTGTCGCGAACCACGTGTATAAGCGCCCAAAGTGAAGTAAATTAAAAACAAAACAATAAAATATTTGCCAACGTTTCAAAAATCGAATGTAAATACTTGTACATACATATGTACATATGTATGTAATGCATTGCTAAGTATTACTTGTGTGTTTGTGATGGTCTAAATAGAAATCGTGTTTGCAGTTATTGCTATTGTTGTTGTATAAGCTATTGTAGCATTCGTTCTTGTCTTGTGCAGTAAATGCTGTTCAGTAATTAGAGAAGCGTCTGGCGAAAAATAATAATACAAACAAATCGAGTCATAAAAAGCTATTTGCTAACTCAAAAATAAATATCAAGCGGCACATTACACAGCCTGCGCTGAGGCGGCAGCGTGATTGCGAACCTTCAGCGCCATTAATTTAATTTTACCGCCCGCCGATTCGGCAAATTTCATGAATTGGTAGCGACAGGGTATACATTTCGAGATGTAGGGGGTCGGCATTTGCGATATTATAGAGCAAATATAAAAATCTTAATTAAATAATAAATTGAAGTAATAGTAAAAAATAAATAAAATGAAAAAGATAAATAAAAAGTAAAAATAAAGCATAATTTGTTCAAAGTAATAAAACAAAGAAAGGAATAATAAACCATTTTAATAAAAAAAAAATATAAAAATTAAAACAAGAAATAGAAATAAAATAAAACAAAGAGAAAAATAGATAATTTTACTAAAATAAAATTGACAAATAATTAAAAAAAAATAAAAATAAAATAAAAATAACACACAACGACAAATAAAGCAAAATAAAACGTAAAATGTACGAAAACCCACCGCTATCCGTAACTCTCGACAGAGTTTATAACTGCCGCGTTGGCCGCGCTAGCTCGCGCCGAGCGAAATGGAAAATTTTGGCCATTCTCAAAATCCGCACTAATTTAAAGCAAACGTATATATGTATATATTTTTTTTAATTAAAAAAGAGGAAGTGCTACAAACAATAAATAAGCGAATGTAGCTCATAAAAAAACACGTTTGAAGTGCACAAGAATCGCTGACATTTTGTGTTGCGAAAACAAATACTAAATAAATAAATATCAGCTGTAAAGCATGCGCGTTGCATTAATGTACTTGTTTAACTTGTCAAATAATACAAGTTTGCATACATACATACATACATTTTTGTTTATACGCTAGTGTCAGTGTGTATGTAGGTGGGGTTATGTGCAAACCGCTTTGTATCACAACCGGCTGTGCGCGTTCGTTCGATCACCTTCTGCGCGCGTGTGTCAGTGCGGCGCCCATTCGTTGGTGTTATGTTTTGGCTGGCGCTGAGGCTGGTGGTGCTTTCATTGCTAATATAAGCCATATTTTTCATAACTTTATGTTCTTGCTTATGGCTGTGCGATGCGCCATGAAGTGACAAGTCAAAATTTAGCAAGCGCTCACAAAAAAAAAAACGCAAACATATGCAGAAGGTGCTAATAATCCGCGTCGCTGTCAACCTTGGTCAATAGTGTCCGTCATGGCTTAGAAGCGAAACACGCTGTCAATTTGCAGTTGTTGCTGCCACCGCTCAGTAAATCAAGCAAGAGTCATTACTAGCGCGCTTATGTGTTTGTTCGTATCTATGTTTGCGCACATTTGTCCATGCATGCATATTTACTTAGAGCTGATATTATGCTTGCTGTTAGCACATTAAATATGCCACTGGGTCGTTGTCTGCAGCGAGGCGCGGCGCAGCGCGCGGTCAGTGGTGTTACGGGCGCGTCATTGATCGCATTGGCGCTGTGAAAACCTGCTTTGTCGCGCGGCATCGCAGCTGAATAGGAAAATTTGTTTGCATTTCAGAGTAATTGTTAGTTTTTTGCGTTCATTGCAGCAGGGGGTGCGCGCGCAAGGAATTGGAAAAAAAAAATATATATTAAAAAACATGAAGTAATTTAGTAAAATCTAACTGACTGCGTGCCGTTTCGCATTTCGAGCGTTACGCTCCAATTAGCAATAACAACAAAAAGCTAGTACCTATTCATAATTATTTCAGCCACAAAAGCGAACAATGAAGCTGATTGTGTGCGTTAAAAAAAAAAACGTTGTTTAAAGCAAAACTGACGACCGCATTTGTCATTACGAAATTTGAGAAGCGCATAGCCAACCACAGCGAGTGCTACAATCACTACAACAACAACGACAAAAACCAAAACAGATTTAGTAGCAATTAATGAGATAACCGCAACAGTAGCAGCAAAAAAATTAGTTGTGCGCGCGCAATTACCAACAACTTCGTAGCTCACCTGTTAACAACAAAATTTTAGTTAACTTAATCGCAACAACGGTATTTAGATGTGCGCAAGCGTGCCCGTTCACCTTCCGCGTTTCGGGTATTCATAGCGCGCGTTTCCACCTTACAAACTCTCTCGCGTTGTCTCCCGACTGTGTCGCTGATGAATGCTTAGCTTCGCGGGGCGTTTGTGTTTTTAGTTGCTGTTGTTGTTTATTGCATTCGAAGCTGTTAATTGTTGCACTATTAGCTTTCGTCGCCTCGCAACTCTTAACTGCCAAATGCTGCCTTATTTACTCATCTCAGTCAAGTATGTACGACAGTGTGCGGCATTGTGTTTTTAACGGTGTAAAAATAAATAGTAAAATTCTTTGCTCTAATTTTTCAAGTCGAAACGAATTTGTTTGTTTTATATGTACATATGTATAGTGTTTTCTTCAATAAAAAAAGCTGAGCTAAAAAAAGAAGCTCCGCGCTACGCTTGAACGCAGTTCTCCTCGACGAAGCTTGTGCTCATATGTACACACAAACCTTCCAATACATATGCAAGCGCAAGTGTACTGCGGCTGCGCGAACAGGTAAGCAAATATTTACTCACCTGAATAAAAAAAAAGTAACAAAAACAACAACAGTGTCATATTTTCAAATAAACAACCTTTTATTTTATTTATCGTAATTGAGCCAGCGATTTTTTTTTGTTGATTAGCATACAAATAGTATTTTTAGTGAAAGTATATGCGATTAAATTTTAAAGCATCTAGAAAAATATGATTGCTGGACTTTGATGGTTGGAAGCTACAGTTAAATACTATTCGAAATAAGCTAGACTTTGCACGCCAATTGCGTATTTGTTTTAGTGAGCTTGTTTGTTATATATTTGTTGAGGCTCTACAATACTAAGCTCTACTGCTTCGCTGCAATAACCGGTTCAACCTATGTATTACTGAAAACCGATTAATTTTTAAGTAAAAAAACACAACTGAGCATTGAAGCTCATATACATACAAATTTAGGATTACCGTTAATTTCCCTGTGGAGCCACCCAGAAGGTAAGACCTTTCCTATAAAAAAAAAAAGAATTATCGAAAACGGTTCACGTCATCCAAAGTTATCCGGTAAAATACATAAAAAATATTCCAATGAATTGATAAGCTTTCTCCTTTTTTGAAGTCGGTTAGTTACACAGGCCTGCAAAATTTAGAGCTTTATTCTGTATCACGAACGATAGGCAATACGCGATTCGTCTGCAGACGACAACCTCTCTGATTGCGATTTTATTACTCTATCGGTCGTCTTCGTCTTGCCTTTCATATATTACGTTGCAATGGTCTCGGTTGCGTTTAAGCCGGCTAGAATGATGTCGCCGGACTAATTTTTAAAGCTTTCCTCTGCAGACGAATCGTTCGTGTTGCCTATCGTTCGTCATACAGAATAATAAGGCTCTTAAATTTTGTTTATCGATCGCATGCTTTTTAAATAATAAAATTGATGTATAGGGACCCGTGATTTTTCAGTCCGTGGCGTCAAGTTTTCTCTCGACGGCGCTGCATATATCCTGTTTTGTCAATTTTACCCTCGATTTATGTGGATATATATTCATGGCCAACCTTGGTGAAGAAATTAGCCACTTTCGAGACGAAAGAGAAAAAGAGCAAGAATTCGCGCAGATTCGAAAGCCTCAATCGGGGTGCTGGAAGTGCACGACTTCGTGCCGAATTCCTTAACCGACGTGAGAGTTGGTATACACTTTCTCTAAGAGCTTTGTTTTCCTAAAATAAAGCTTTGACTTAATATATTGAGCCCTATCGTTTGTTTGCCGGTGTGGATCACTGAAGATTCGTAATAGGCCGTGTTCAAACTCATGACGATGTCAACGCGGGTACCGTAAAAACAGCGTTTATCTTATCCCCTTGCGGTAATATTTATTTATGTATTCAAGGTTCCTTTATTTAAGTTTTTGGTACTTTTTATACGGGAAAACCCCTACGCCGGTGGACCAGCGAATTACATCGGAAGTCAATGCTTACCTCGCTAGATTGTCCGGTGTAGACAGAAGAATTTCATGTGGGACCTGATGAACGCACGCTACGGTCTTGATGTGAGATCGGTTAGACCCTCTCGACACTTACATGGTCTTATGTTTTGGGGGTTTCAACAAAGAACTATGAAAACCTTTGAATAAGTTTAATCGTACACATATGTATGTATTATTACTTCTAAACTCTTGAAATACACAAAGTGTACTTAAAAGCGAGTTGCGTTGCTTTCAGCTGGTGCCCGCATTACACTGATATGCTGCACTCGCTTAGCTCACGTTCCAAAGCGCCTACACTATGTCTGTCTGTCTGGTTGTATAATTTCATTTGCTTGCTTTTCCCCGATAACTCAGCTGAATATTCCATGTTCGTAATTTTCCGCGCGTATGAGACTAGGTTGAAGTCTTTACCGACATTTCGGTGTCACTGTTTGTTATTTACACTGTCGAGCGAACCAGCGCAATGCCACGCGCCCTGATTGTTTTATAAATGAAACAAAAGGCTTATTGTTTGCAAATTTCAATTCCCATATTCCATTCAAGCGAAATTGTCATTAAAGCCTGCCTTAAATCGGCCTGGCCTGTCTATAAAGTCGAAAGCCACATCGGCGCAGCTCAACAAACCCCAACGACTAGCCTGGGTGGGCATCGGCGGAGCAATGAGCACAGCACCCACCGCGGCGCTTGAGACACTGCTCTTCATATCGCAATACCTACCCGGCATGAAATGAATTTCACGGCAGAGCGCATTTGCGAACGCAGTCAGTTTTATGTAAGCAAAACTGGATTTTCCACAGCTCAACCTCAAATCGATTATTAATATTTTATGAATGCAAATATTTTTAGCAAATACTTTCGCAATATTATGAGCAAAAGCGCACTGAGTGGGCTGCAGTGACTTGCCGACGGTGTCGCCGGAATAGTTGTTGGTGATATGATTAACAGCTGGTTATTCACACCTCTTTGGAACTGTTTGTTGAGCGATCTAATTACCCTCAAACCAAAATGGGGAAAAATTGCGGTTAGGGACGTATTTTCCGGTGCAAGCAATCACACAGACCTAATTAACACTAGCGTAGCACACTGAGTGCAGCTATAATTTATTGGTGTGACTGGGGCACACAACTAGCGGACTGCTTATGGCTCACCTGTTGTGCTTTTTTATTTTTAATTTGATCGTTTTTGACTGATGAGCTATCCAAATAGCGCGTCATAAATTTAATTGTTCAACCAGCTTTGCTCGCATTCATTTCCTCGGAAAACTTATTCTGAGTAATACTTAGCACAAGTAGGAATTTCTCATCATAAACGCTATTTACCACATACAACCTCAAATAAACGCATACTCAAGTAAATACTCCAAACTCCACCCAAGTCAGTTAAGTCGATGTGTTGACGGATCACTATAACCGCAGGGATTTCACACAGCGGAGTCACAAGACCCAAGTTGAGTGCTGACATCTGGCAAATAAATTAAAGATAAACAAATAAATATGAAAAATAATAACAAGATAAATGCAAACAAATAAAAGAAAAACGCTCAAAAAAAAAAATAAAATATTGTTCATCCACTTGGTGGGCAGCAGTGAGTGCTATATTGAAAAAAAAACTCTTACTTATTCATCAATTAAAAAATTAACTTTACTCGTATGTAACGGGTGGAACATATAGTGGTTTTTTAATCATGTAAATATCATAGCTCTTCGGAACAAAGTGAAGCACTTTACGATTGAACAACATTGGGGGTATTCTCGATACGTTGCATAATGTCTAGCAAATTATCCAATCATGCTATTTATGCCTTATTGGGAAATATTGCAAACCAAATAGCAGCGGCTATGTTAAGAAGCAAAACTGCCGCATCGGAAAATTCACACGCGATCGTCTAGAAGCCAATGCATCCTCAGAGAGTAACAGTTTGTTGCGGATTTTGGAGCGGTGGTATCATTGACCCATTTTTCTTTGAAAATGCTGCTGGAAACGCCATTTCAGTCAAAAGTGAGCACTACCGAGGCATGATAAAAGATTTTGTGTGGCCGGAAATTTAAGACATGCACTGGAACGATCTTTGATTTCCGTAGAATTGCGCCACCTCGGAGCTGCGCTGTGATGCCGTTAGACTTTTTTGTGGGGTGCCATGAAGTCCCGATGTTATGCAAACAATCTCAGAAAAGTCTTGGAAAACTGGGCCAACAAGATTCGATACTGCGAAGCTAGCCGAGGCTGCCACATGATTGTAATCTTATTCCATAGTAATGGGAATGTACAAAAAAATAGCTTTTTGTATAAAAAGAAACCACTATATGGACAACCCTGTATACACAGTTCCCCATTAAATGTGATAAGAAATTTATCCAAGTGTGTGGATTATGCCTTTACAAAACGCAGTTGGGAGAAGTAAGTACTAGTTGTTGGAAAAGATTAGCTTGTTTGACATAAGCAGATATTAAAAATATATTGAACTTTTTTTGGGGCACTTCGTTTTTTCGTTTTTTGTCAGGCAAGCCAAACGACGTTGGATCGCTTGCTCAGTTCTCTTGGGTACTATCGCGGTAGAAAGTGGAATCGCAACTAGCGAGCGATGATTGCTGAAAGTCTGCTTTATGCAGTGTAGTTTTCTTCCTCTCTATGCTGTTGTATAGTGAAAAGTTTTTTGACTGGTTGCTGAGAAGTCTTAATTTCGTGTTGAATCCCTTCGGGAACTTTGCATACGACGAGGTTCTTGACTAACGCCTGACGTTTGATAATCTTTAGTTGTCAGAGATGATTGCCACCGTAAACTATCTGGGGATAACAATTGGCAAAAAACTATTAAAAATGGCAAATTTTCTGCAGGAGGTGTAGAGTTTAGAAAGATATATTAATTTCTATACGAACGCTTTACGACCAATTTCAGTCTGTACTTAAGATCCTATGGCTTTTAGTGAAATCTCACTTTCAACAAATATAAGCAACCTCGTCAGTGTCAGCCTTTAATCCACTAAAACCTGCTCTTCTTGACCGATTTCCCTCCCTGGTAGTACTGTCAAGTATTTCGTCAGGAGGCCGTTTGAGTAACTTGCTCGAAAATGTACATGTCTACTCGTAGCTGTTTGCTCACCCGCAACTGCTGCATAATTTCTGCTGATACACTGCACACCGCTTTCCACGACGTCACGTGCTCTGCATCTTCTTCAGTAACCGGCCGGCAAATCTCACAAAATGGATGTTCCTCGTGGTCGAAACGATGCTGATCAGCAAAGATCGTATATTGGAGGTCGCAAAATGGTTGACTGATCTGCTGATCACGGAATGGAGACGGCCATAAATTTATCGATCCATTTTTGATGTTTCATTGCGGATACAGATACCAACTTTTTTCATTGAAAGACCTATATGCTTTTCTCCTTAATCAGAGGTCGTATTGATAACTGGTACAAATTGACATTTGAGTCACCTTTAGCCGCCACATAGGAAGCCGGTCTAACGTGTTCTGGACCTTTTTTTATAAATAGTTGTGGGCAGAGCATTCTGTTTTACTACTCAAATTGCTAAATCAAAAATTTAACATCTATAAATTGGTAAACTCAATTCAGTTCCACTGCCAATGCATCAACTGCGTACGTTAATTCGCACTTTTTTACGCAACAAAATGCAAAATTAAAAGAAAATAAAATATAATTACTTAAAATACAACAATGCACTTGCTGCCCAGCTTTAATGGCAGTTTTGCGAAGCCGCTTTTGTGCTTGACAGTGGGTCAGACGCAAGGCAAACCTGTGCTGTGGCTAAGCGGCTAATTTACTTTCAACTGCAAAATTCAGTATAAAAATATTTATTTATTTGCAGCGGGTATGAACGTTTTGGAAAAATGACAGTATAATTGACTTGTCGTGGTTGTTGTTGCTGTTGCTGTTGCTGTTGTATCATACGTAGGATTTATTTTATTGGTTATTAAAAATATTTGTACGTATACAAATTGCATGATGTTTCGCAATTAAATTGCGCGAAATGAAATGAATGTCTCGTTAATTAACGTTCCGGTTAATAATGACACAAATTTATTTATCCATTTATATATACCTACTACTTAGTACGCACACACTAACACACTGTCATGTGACATTATTTACGTCAATCGAGTTTGGGCTTCCAAAAATATCTGTAGGCCAGCAGGTCGTCGAAGTGTTATGTGGCTTTTTATAACGGCGTTTCTGCCCACCTTACAACCACATACAATAATCTTTGTTGTCTGCTATAGAGTGTGGGTGGCCTTAAAATAATGCCGATCACGTCTTTATGTTGTTTGTAATCTTTCGAAAGACTCCCTAATTGAGTATTAATAAAAAGTTTATTTTTATGACCGTTCAAACAGATATGGATTCGTACAGGGGAGGGGCTACATTAGCGTGATGAGAATTTCGCTGGACGAGTGTGGTGCTAGACGAAAAAAATGCCCGAAGTGAAGAAAATAGCTACCCAAAACTGTAGTGATATTTTCTCTGAAGGGTCAATAGTTCTAAAATGATAAGTGAGAGTTCCTTCCCTGAGCGTATAAGCAATATAAGCGTATAAGCTGTGACCCAAGAAGATCTATTGTGCTAAACCCTAATTGTAATCACGCTAAGAATTTCGGAGGGTGCCATGTTCCAAATTTGGATGGACAATACAATCGTTACCCGAGTCGTATCAGTTTGCTATTCATGATACGTGTGCAGTCACATAGAATATGCTCTGCGGTTTCCTCCACCAGCCCCAACACCTGCATTCCGTCTCTACAGAAGTCCACATTTTATTCAAATGGTAGCTTAACTTGCCTTGTCCTGTCAGGTAGCCACTAAGAGTTCTAAGATCCTCTAGGCTAAGTTCAAAGGGGGCTTTCGATGTTCCTCCTAGAAAGAGATATGATTGTATAGTAAGAGGACTGGTCCAAATAAAATCTAACCAAAAATATCCTTCGACCTTTACCTTGAACTGTCAGATGATTTCAGGGCTTGAGTCACCTGTGTGTCACGTGAGAAAAAGATGACAGAGAACCCGTAATTGATTTCACTATGATGCCATGAAAAGCAACATCCTTCACATCTAAAAGATAACCCAAAAGAAGATAACAAAAACTAACCAACACCTCTTTTCGTTTGGCTAAAATCATTAGCTCTATCAACACTACTATCACGATACATTGGCCCTGATTAATGGCGATTCGACGGTTGTGTAGATCTGCTGTTGGTTTTATATTAAAGATTATGATCGGCATTTTTGTCGCCTTAACTTTGATATATGACGCGGAGCGCGCATGACACTCTAATACGCGCTTACACTTACGGAATTTAATAACACCCAAATATAGTAATAAAATATACAATAAGTACTTGTAAATACATTATATCTTCGATAAAAAAACAGCAATGCGAAATACGCAATAGAAAAGTTGAATGAATGTAAAAAATCGGCGGAACATAAAAATATAATTTACGTCAATATGGAGGCCATAAAAGTTAGCAAGAATAAAAAAAAAAACTGAAGCGATAAAACAGGCAATACAATACTAAAATGTACCAGCGAAATCCCATAATCGCCCGTAGATAATAGACCTGATAAAGTCCACACACAAATAGCAAACATAAAAAATGATAAAAAAAGGAAAATTTTCGAACAAGCTAAAATATGTATGTAGATTAAAATGACTGATAGGAAAGCGCAAATAGAAACTAGGTGAGAAAGCTATTAATATTTTTATGAATTTATGATTTGCAATCTCCAAAGATTGCCAGCAATGGCAAGCGGTGTGACGCGCATTGCATTAATTTTATACGCGCTGCACCTTATTTTTTTTGTAAAATTAATCAGCTTATGTTATTTCTATTTACAGAAACTTCTACTGTCAACAGCGACGTCAAGTGGAAACACCGTTCATGCCGCTGCGCTGACGAGCATGTAAAACATTACAAGCAGTCGCTGGCTCATTTATAAAATATTAAACCAAAGAGAAAATCTAAGAAAAGTGAACAATATTATAACGCGTTCGGCGCGCACTAAACTATTGACGGGCGCGCTTCAAACAGCTGAGCGCCATATGCGAGGAAGGTCAACAGCGCGCGACGCAAGCAATATTGACGCGATTAGTGCAGCGATCGACGCGAACAGCGACATGATATTTATACATAAGTGATACGCAATTAAAAGCAAGGCGGGCGCGCGTGTGTGTTAGTGAATGTACATATATTGTGCTATTGTGTGCTGCTTGCGCGTAGTGCATGCGTTGCTTCTAAGTGAGCCGGCGCGCCACATGTATCTAATTACACAATTCCAATTCCAAGAAGATGTTTAATAGATCTGTGTGAAGAGTGCGAATTACTCATTGTCAGCGTCAAAGTGCGATCGTAGAATAATATTCGCTTGTAACGCTACACGCCACTCACCGACTCACTGCGTCTCAATCAGCGTCATCGCTTGCATTAAATTTTAATTAGCTGAAAAGAAGTTTGCACGAAAAAGTTATTTAATTTACCCACGAATTGTAGCGCCTGAAGGCGAGTGTAGACAAGCAACAATACAGCTGACTATAACACGTTAGTGGCAGGTGACTAAAAAGTCTCACCATATAAATTAAACAAATCTTCGACTCGATAACCGATCTTACGCTACAGCGCGGCACTAAGCGTCTAATCGTCTGGTGGCTCGCGTGCGTCAGAGCGGTTGTATTGCTGCGTTCAATGGTCTCTTCTGCGTCAGTTGCTTTGTGACAATAAAAATGCTTGTTACTAACAACAACAACAACAGCTCAGTAATAATACTCACAAAAATATCAAAAACTGTACAACGAATAGCCAACCACTGTGGGAATGATATTTTTTGTTGCTGTTAATCGCTGTCATTTGCGTCATGTTATCGTGCCTTGACGTCATTTGACGTTGCAGCGCGTATGCCGACTACAAGACCTCTTCAACGTTGGGCGCAGCGAAGAAAGCCATAAAAAAAGAACCGCAGAGTGCAAACGCACTAAATGAAAAAGAATGAGTCAAGTACCCACCAACAATAAAACTAATAATAAGTGTAGCAAAGTGGCCGACAAAAAATACAATAAATGCCTGCAGCTATCGGCGCAAAGAATTACGAAAAGAATTATGGGCAGCAATACGAGTCGACACAGTACCAGTACCGGAATGAGTACACTTGACAACGCCTCGAACATGACCATGGCTGCAGAGACTGCAACGTGCCGTGTTCTTTCAACAACCGTCAAGAATGCGCTACGTCCGCGCCACAAATGCGCGCGGGGGACGCATAGAATTAAGAACTCGCATTCAACACAGAAACCTACGGCTGTCTTCAAATTGACAACTGCGCCATCCGGAAGCGCATCGACCGAAACGCAAATTTCTGCGCACCCTGCCAGCACTTCGCTTTATGACGTGTCCGGTGTGAGCGCTGATGCAACGGTATGCTGTAATCCAAGCGATGAAGCGGTAGGCGTGGATGACGTAGACAAATCCACGATCGCGTGCGATACGTCCAGATGCAGCGATGCTGCTAAAGATGCCAGGAGTATTGGCGAAAGTGGCCGTTCGACATCAGCGTCGAGCTCAGTGCAGAAGCTTAGTGGTTCCCATGCCACAAGAGCATCAGTTGCTACGAGTAGAAGAACAAAGGCGGTGGGGAACATAAAAATAACCACAACAACGCGGCGGCCATATACACATACAACAACGACAACAACGGCATCAACGGAAACTCAATTAACGAAAGCAAAAAAGATTACAGCGAGCAATACAACCATAAGTATACACGCACCGACATCGACATCGACAGCGGCAGCGGCAGCGTCAGCAATAACGGCAAATGAGCGAGTGCGGAAAGCTGCAATAGCAGAGGAAGCGGCGGCGGCATATTCGGCTGCTACACGATTAACACAATCGGCGATTCGTTTGACGTCTGCGAATTTTACGCCGATCGTGACGGCAGCACAGGTGGCAGGGGCGTCGACGGCGGTAAATGTGAAATCAAAATTCAGTGAAAATAAATGTCCGTTGGCTGTGCTAACGAATGTTAGTAATCAGAGAAAAGTTGAAGCGAACAGTACGGTACCAGCGCTAAAGCAGTATACACTTAGCGGCAACAACGTAAACTCTAGTCACGAAAAAAGTACCTGTGTCAGCAGTAGAACAAGTGAAGAATTGAACAAAAAGTGGCCAGAAGAACTTAGTTCAGCCGACACGGAGTGTGAAACAAGTAGAACGGCAAGAATAGACGCCGGTTCTAACAGCAACAAGGATATCACAAGGAAACAGAACTTGGCTGCACGTAAAGCCAAATTGAAATCGGAATTTTTCAGGGATTTCGAATCACGCGGCCAAGTCAACAAGCGATTGGCACAGCCATCGGCGCTTATTAATATTTGTAGCGTGGATTTACCCAAACGGTTTTCGGATAGCGGTCAATCGAATCTTCTGCAATCTCAAGTAAACGCGGGCGTCACACGGAGTACGAGTCCTTTGACAACAGCAGCATTACTTTTGCCACAGATTTCTGTAAACACCGCTGACACCACTTCTCCCGTATCGCTGGTAACCAGGCGCAAGTTAGATCTGAAGCGAAAGTTCGAGCAGCAATCGTCGCCGAGGGCGTCTCCCCACTGCCATCAATTAGTCTTGATTGGTGCATCCAGCGCATTTCCACGTGTCGAGGAATTAGTACAAAAGTTCGATTCGCAACCGCCTAGCCCCGCAAGGAAAATGATTGTCAATCCCAACAATTCGATCGAAGCGGCAGATAGCAATATGTTGTCCTTGAAGCCAGACGTACTGGAGCAGCGCAACAGTCCACTCTCGGACGAAGGCTGCAACCTGGGACAGAGCCCCTACTCATCGGATAATGAGGACAATGAGTCCACCAACACAACCTCAACAGCTGTGCTACAATCAAAGCACAAAGATAAAGTCGCGCGTTCGGCGAGCAGCGACTCCGCACTCGGGTTGGACGTAGACGAGTCCATGGACACAACACCGGCACAGCCACCAACCTGCCCACAACAGCGCAGAATGACACTCACTGTCACGGATTTGCCATTGCGGCCGGCACTCTTGCCGCTAGCCGAACCCACTGCACTGCCCGACTCGCCGACCATCGATCTGCAGCAGACAGTCAATATTTTACCAGCTCAGACCACGGTGCCCAGCAAGGTGCTACTGGAGGAGCGCGTCGTTGAGCTGCCGGAGGATCCACGTTCCCTGGCGCCGTCACAACCCTGTTCACGGCGCGAGTCAGCGCAGAGTTGTGGCAGCGACTACGCATCGACCGAGTTTCCGGGCGGCAGGCGATTTGTACGCACACCCTCCGTGGTCGTTTCAGACTACTCAGACGATGTCATGTGCGGCATAACTCTGGAGGAAATCGAGTATTTCCGCGCACAGCGCATGCAACGACGACATTCCTCACTAGACACTGCCAACGAGGGCGAAGGCGAATCGGACGTGAGCGCCGCGTCTTCCTGCAGCAATCTCTACTACTGCGGGTCCACAATATCCGCATTGGACGGCGCCGAGTGCTACGTGAATGGCGTGCGCACGTCCTTGGACCGCAAGACCAGCGACTGCTCCACATGCTCGGTCAGCGCAGATGAGGAGTCATTCACCATTCCCGAAGATCCACAACAGCAGACGGGCACGAGCAAGGACCTCGCCGACCTACTAGCGGCGCAACATTTGAGCGCAAAGCCAGCAGCAAAGAAGGTAGGTTTGGTGGTGCCCCTGAGTGAGAACTTGGGCGAAAAGTTTACCTATTGAGCTCCTTGCGAGCCTAAGCAAGCCTAAAGTATTTTCTTATCTACATGTACATATTTTTTCACCCAAAAAACTGTTGTAACTTGATTAGTTTTAGCAATTAACTGTATATTGTACCGGATATGTATGTGTAGGCTATCGTATGAACGTAATTACAAG